GTAAAAAATGGAACTTTACAGAAACCATAAGAGAACCTGGTTCTAAGAGACTTCAACAAAAAGGTTCTGAATATCAGTGGACAGTTACAGTAAAATCACTCTGTCATTTACTATACCATTAACACAGTTCACGTCAACGATGGAGTCGCCGGCGAACGCTTTGCCATTGTTTCTTCCTTAAAGCTCACCGGATCCCGAAGAAACAGCTCTTTTTAGCCCACAGAACCAATAACCTGGACTCGGGTCGGCCCAAATAAAAAAATGGAAAACTACCTAATTACACAACCATTTCTACCGTATTTATTAATTCTAATTACATATTGTCTCGCTAATTAATAATTTCATATAAAATTTCAAATCAAATACATCTAGATTTATGTATTTTTGTTATCAGATACACTCTGAAATATAAATACGTAGAGAGAGAAGGTGGGCAACGAAGTGAGTGAGACGGGAACGAGATAGGAGGAAGTGAGTGAGAGGGGAACAAGATAGGAGGGAAGCGAGCACTATATCCCTGATATGTGTGAATCAGATTCGATACATGTATTTCAGATACCAGATACATTCCAAAATCCATATACGAAATACAGATACAAATACATTTTGAAATATAGATACATAGAGAGAGGCAAACGAGAAAGTCAGTGTGTATCCCAAATGCATGCGAATTCACTTGGATAAGTGTATCTGAAACAAATTACACTTATTTCTGACCTCATGTATTTGAGATACATGTATCTAGACGTGCCAAATACATGTATCTGAGAATCAAATTCTTGCATGAATGATAATTCCAAAAACTCACAAATGGATACGCAATTATGCCCTAAAGTAGTGAGATTTGTATTGTTTACCTTGAAAATTAACTCTTAGCCCATTTAATCAAATTACCAGGCCTCAAGCCCAATCAGAACACACGGCGGCCCAAATAATGAGCCCAAGTTTCAGGAGAAGAAATGTACCAGCAGCAATCCGAAGACTAGACGGTTTCAATCAAAGAGTGAACGAAGTTTTGGCGATTAGAGAATGGCTAGTAGCGCAGTGGATGCTGTAGGAAATCCGATCCCAACATCGGCGGTGCTGATGTCGGCGTCGAAGCACATAGATATTAGATGCCGGAGCGAGAATGTAGCATATCTCAAGTGCAAGAAGGACGATCCAAACCCGGAGAAATGCCTCCAAAAAGGTCAACAAGTCACTCGCTGTGTCCTTAGCCTGTAAGTGAGGAATTCACATCGAAATATTTCTTAGTTCTGATAATTTTTGCCGATTTCGAGATTGTTTTTACTATTACAGTTGTGTGATTTGTGTGATTGTTCGGTATATTATAAGGTGAAAATTTAGGGCTTTTTTGTTTGTGTATTTGCTTTTAGTAATCAGGAGTTGATAGTTTTCTAATTCACTGTGGGAAGTGTTGAAGACATGATTAAGTAAATAGATTTATTTTCTTAACATGTTATTGGAGTAGGCAGAGATACTTGATTCAAGTTTCACAAAATAATAAAAAAAATAATCACATGCTTGGACTGTGATTAAGGAGATGATTAAGTAGATAATGTATCCTAGGGTGTGGCCTAGTGGTCAATGAGGTGGGTTGAGAACTGAGGTCCCTAATTCGATTCCCAGCTGAGGCAAACACTAGGTGATTTTTTCTCATCCATGTGTTGACGGGAGGTAGATTTAGTCGAGGTGTGCTCAAACTGGTCAGGACACCATGATTATAAAATTATAAGTAGATAATGCTTTCCCTCTCCAATATTTTAAGCTTTGAGATTAAGTGGTCATAAAATTTAACATCAAGTGTTTCAATTATCTTTGTCTGGTGTTATCCTGGAATGACTCTTTTGTCTTGTTGGAGAGATGTCATAACAGGGAATAGGAATAAGTGTGTGATTCAAAGAATGTCTAGTTCCAAAGAACCCTTAATTTGCCTTATAGGACAAATTATTTACCAGTATAAAGTGACCTGACTCTGAATAGAGCAGAATGAATATAGACTATATTCATATTGCAATGTTGTTGGTTGGTTGATATTAGATGTTTTTTATGAATGTTTCTTTCGTAATAGTTAAAGGGAAGATGATTCACTGTTCAACTGCTTTGTAATAGTTTGATAGAGTAGTAGCAACATTTCAACAACATTGACAGCAACATACCTAGTGCAATTTTGGCGTCTGGTGATAAGTCACAGCATTTCAGTAATAAGATATATTTCCTGGATTACCTTTATTGCACAGAGAGATATCAGAAGCATAATGCAACATAGTATCAAACAATACTATAAACAAGTCCACCTCCAGCAGTTAAAACAGAAAGTTTGTGTATTGAGGAACAGTAAGTTGTTTTTCATACTTGAGAGAGGTTAAACTATTGTGAACACGATGTGACTAAACTTATACTTTTGAAAGGTTGAAGAAATGTTAAGCTTGGAAGTTGACAATTCTATATAAGATTATGAATGCTTGTAGTTGTTTGTTTCTTCTTTCATGTGCTGATGAGTGTATTGCTTGCATTATAGGATGGAAATTGTAATTGGGGCTTATTTCAGTCTCTTCTGCGGTTCTACCTTCCTAACCACGCCAATGCTGAATATTGTCATTCAGAGTATTTGAATGCTTATATAATGTAGGATTATATCTGGATCCATTGACTCTATGAATCAAAAGTAGTTTAGGCTTCTTTCTATTTGAATTACAATGAAACATGGTTTGGATATTGTCATGTCTATTTGGTATGCATGTGACAGGGACAATGGACTTTGATAGTTATCCCATTAAAATCCCCGAGACCTATTCTGAGACAATGCTAAAACTTTTGTTCCCTTTTTAAGGCGCCTTCACAGTGCTAACTGGTTACAGCTTATCTAAAATGTCTACAACTTCGCACTCCCCACATATCGACGTTGTAACTAAAACCTGATCAATCACATTATTGCTCAATACATTGACACCATTTTGATGCTCTCAAACTGATGCATACCCTCTTAAAAGTGCCATTAGTCAAGTACATGAAACAAACCCTTCCTTTGCACAATCAAATCATACCTACTTAAACAGAATCCTCGGCTACTTGTTACATTTTTGTTATCTGATGGAAAATTATATTCTCTCCTGTCACTAGTTTTATCTCTCCATCCATCCGATTTTATGAGTAGAGAAGCAACTATAAGTAACATGTGGTCAACTACTATATTCTTTTTTAGAAAAAAGGTCTTCCCTTGCTGTGTGAGATGTACTTTCTATTATTCAAGTATGTGCACATTCTTGGTGTTTACGCGTTGTACTTTTTGCAAAACCCTCTTTGTAAGCTGCTTGGGACTCCCAGCCAGTGTACATGGTAAGATTTGAATAAAAGTGAATTACCTTGTCTAGATATCCAGATTTGACATTAATGCTGTAGCCATAGGTTAATAGCCTAAATTTAAGATGGGAAGGAGAAAAAATGCAAACTCAAAATAGGGAGGAGTGGTCACATTTCTCTTCTTTTGTTGGATTTCCACTATATTTGGTCCTATTTCAGTACACGACTTGACCAAGTATTTGTTTTAAACCAAGTTGGAAGATTGATGAGTAGTCTTTATAGTTTGAACAACATTGAGAGATCTGAGTGATACTTGATAAATCATTATATTTTGTGCAACTTTGAGAAATTTAATCTGCTGTTTTATATTCTAGGTTGAAGGATCTTCATCAGAAGTGTAACAAAGAGATGGATGCTTATGCTGGATGCATGTACTACAACACAAATGAGTTTGAGATGTGTCGTAGTGAGCAGAAGGATTTTGAGAAAGCCTGTCCTTATTGACTGGCTGGCGAATGATGTTTTTCATTTAAGAAATAAAAACTTGAATGTATTTGCAAAAGAAGAAGAGCATATTGTTGTTAGCACCTTTCATCAATATGTTCTGTGTTTGGAACCCTTTCACAGGGCACTTACCAATTTGATGTTCCTCTTAAATTTGTCTTCAACATAAATCATGAAGCAGAAATTCGTACATGACTTGTTTTCAGAGCATAAATTAGAATTTGGGTCGTTCGTTCTTGAAGTGTATCTTTACATATATTGCCTCTCTATAGCACTGACGTTTGTTCAATGAAATCTCCCTCCATTGCCAGTATAATATGTTTGACTGGAGATTTGTCTCCTTAACTGAAAAAAAGTTTGGTTATATCATATGTTCACTAGTCATATTTTGTACTGGGATCGACTCTTTAAGTGATGTAATGAAATTCCTGCTCATCTAGTTTGAGTTGAGCTAGTCCAACTGATCCAATTGTCATATAGTTGTTCGGGAGATTTGATTTTGTAGTCCTTTACAAATTTGTTTTTAGTTGTATGTCTCTTTTACGAGGGATATTTATTTTTATATTTGAAGAAATTATTTTCTTCTATTCAATTTATATATCGCTACATCGGATTGTCCAGTATTTGTACCCATAAGAATGACGGGGTACGAAATATGAGGGTCAAATTATTTGGTTATTGTGTGTAAATTTGAATATTGATTCTTCAATTCTTTTGAAATATACTTGCATATTAAGAAATTATGTAACATGTAGTATAAAGAATGAATTGATTGACTTTTTAAATGGTGATGGTGTCTACTATATTTCTTAAATATAAGGATTTGACTTGTGTCTTATATCATAAATTTGAACTTTGTATCAAGTGAACTAAATTTAGTATTTAAGTGGAGAATGATAGAAGGGTGAACCCATTATTCTTGGAGCCTTAAAGACTTCAATTGATGTTTTTATCTTGGATAAATTTCTCGACTATATTAAAAAAACACAAAAGCTTTTGCACAACTAGTAGTTAAGGAAAATTGAGTGCTACGTTGATTGACTTGGCTAAGGAGTTTCATTTATTTAAGATCAAATTAAAGAACAATGGGGAATATATATAATTTTTAGAAACTTGAGGGCTAAATATTGACCCTTTTCAAACTTCATGGGTCAAAGTAACAATTACACTCTTATACAAAAATCTCTGTTTTTTCTCAACTCAAACCATTTCAACTGCTTAATCTGCTAAATCCTAGTGAGGTTGAACTTCAGAGCTTTTCTGGTGAGCACACATCAACCATTTTGTAGTATAAAGCTCAAAGAAATTCAGTGGCATAATCAAGTTGTAGCAGAAACTCCCACGTAGATTCAAGAATTTGAGGTAAACTTAACATTTTCACTACCCATCCTCGCCATTGAATTATTAGTACTATATAGTTTCTTTGATTTTCAAAGGTGCGATTTTTACGCCTTCCTTGTTGTTCTTTTTCTTTTGGGGGTCCAAAGATTGGATTTTTGGGTTCATTTATGGTAGATTCTTGATTTTTAGAGGTAGATAGTGGACAACTTATGGAAATTGTGGAGCATCCAAGGTGTGGCTTAGTGGTCAATGAATGAAGTGGTTGTGAGAGTTATGAGGTCTCAGGGTTAAATCCCAGCGGAGACAAAAAAACACTAGGTGGTTCTTCCCATATGTCCTATCCTGGGTGGACAGAGTTACCTGGCAGCTGTTGCTGGTGGGAGGTATGTCGGAGAGGAAGGGGGTGGATTTGTGACTGGGGTGGTGGGGTGAGGCAGGAATAAGGGGAGGGGCAGATTGGTTTGTATTTTGTGATGCTATGATGTGAACTTAATATGCCACTCTTTGGGGTTTAGTGGCATCCAAAAAGATTACAGGAGAGCAAGTGGAACTGAAGCTTATAATAGTTGGATGAAAGTAATATTAGTAACTAAGAAACCACATTTATTGAAAGAGATTTATATAAACCCTCTTGCCTCCACTAGGAGGAAAAGAAGTGAAAAATCTTGGTGTATTGTAGCATCAGTAACACAGTTGTTAGATCCCAATTTTTCTTTTGTGTAATGGATTATTAAAACATGAATTGAATACATGAGCAGTTCTCTAGTTGACGATTTTGCACAAAACTGTCTCAGCTCTAAAGTTTGGTCTCGTAGTTTCATTTCGTGTATGAGTTTATTTACGAGGAACTTGGTATTTTATCAGAGTCCATAAGAATGATTTGGTACATTTTGGTTTATCTTCTTGACAATAACTCTTAATTCTCTGCTAATATATGTGTGCTTTTTGTTGATTGCTGATGATATGGTGAACATATGTTAAAAGAGAGGACTCATTAATACCTGTCAAACCTGATTGTGTTTTGGTATGAATGGAGTGTAATCTTCTCTGCAGTGCTTCTGTAACTTCAAGTAGTAAATCTGGTAAATACTTGTTTAAGTTCTGAGCCATTTTGGTCTTTCTGTGGTAACTCTGTAATCTAAGTAGTGAAATTCATAAAAAAATTTGTCTATTTGGATTCAAGTTACTTAATTAATCTAGTTGATGAACAGGGCCAATTTGCTTTTCTGAATTATCTTATTTAATTCCTGAACTGCTCAATTTGTAGGGGACAACCGTTTGAGTTAACAAATTTGATTTCTCACTGGAGCTAGCAGGCAGAGAGAAAGCAAAGTTCACATAGATGCTACAACATATTTCAGTTCTGACTAATACTCCATGGTGGCTATCTCAAAATGGTTCTACTTCAATGTTCTTTTTGTTTAAATTTAAATTTTACAAAGATTCTAGTGAACGATAGAAATTTATATTAGCTCATCGATTCGACAAAGTACCAGGATTTATGAAAGCTTATTATATGTTAGTATAAGGAATTCCGTGAAAAATATTTTGTGCTTCTTTTTTCAGGTGCTTTCCCAGGCGTGGTTGTGTATAAGAAGCCTCTGCGATGGGCTCATCCACTTCCGCTGAAGGTTCCTCTTCCCTCTTTCCTAGATTATGTGCTTTTGCTCAAATACGTGGTCACTTTTCTTGTTTTCAGATTTTTCCATTATCTGCTTTCAAGCTAGGATTATGTGAAGCATGAAGCTAGTAATACTCTCATATATGTATAACTATTCAGTACTATGCTTTCTTGTTAGTTGTGATGTGCCTCTTTTAACTCGTCTCTTGACTGAATGTTGTCCAAGTATCTTCGATAATATATTCAGATTTCTGTTTCAAATAATTGGTACCCTTGAGTATTGTGTGTCAACTCATTTGTTTCTTGATCTTTTCGTTTGCTTAAGGTTGGATGATAATTTTCTACAGAGAAATTGGATCTTAGGGCACTCTCCTAGTCTCCTGTATATTACTGACTAGTCTAAAGTTGATGCAGATCTTGAATTTAGGAATTGGGAATTATTTGTGCTGTTTGTCCCGAGAAATCTTTAACTTGGTAAATGCTTGTTGTTATGCAGAATAAGAAAAAGAACTTTATTTTGGCATAATCAGTTAATGGTTTCTTGGCTCTATCATTAGTTTCATGTTGCTGGACTGCCTTGCAGTTATCTAAAAATCCATCTAACTCTCTGCATTCTGCGTCAGTGGGATCATGGGAGGGAACCAGTCTACTGATTGAACGATAGCTTGCGATCTGTTAGGCCAACTTTTAGCTAGAGAGATGTTTTAGTTATAGAGGTGGATTGGAAGAGCTCTTGTTGGAATTTTATAAGGAAAGTGATGCAACTAGAGTTTGAAATACGAGTTTATAATTGTTTCCAGCTTGAAAATTTTCAGATTTAGGCTGAAGGTCTCTACAGTTTTACGATTTCAGAGAGAGAAGAATATACATTAGTATCCTACAAATACAGGCCCTTAAATTAATGACTTTTTCTGAAGATACTTGAATCTTCTCAAGCTTTGAGACATAATGTCTCGAGAAAAGACAGAACTCCAATTCAAACTTCTTCACTTGAGTGATACTTCATTTGACCTCCTTTTCTTCATCATTACATTTGTGATCCATGGAGAAAGGTACCACCTTATGTTTTACTTCCATTCATAGTTTGGCTTCCTTCTCATATTTATATCTTGAAATATTAATGTTAATATCCATAATTAATCAGTCCAAAACTTAAGTGGCTGCTAAGATCAAAGTCGTATGCTTTAACCATCTACAAGCAGTCAACTGTTGCTTACATTCTTTTCACACTTCAATAAGTTATTTCATAATCATGTTCGAGAAACTTTATATCTGAAGTTTATTCATTTAGTTATTTTTACTTTTTCTGAACCCTGGTGTTGCATTTAATGTTGCTGATTTTAGGTTAAACATATATTAATCACAGAATGCCTTCGAGAAATTTGGCCCTATGGTTCTTGCAATCTCTTATATTTACTATGTATCTCCTCGGCCTTGGTTTATTCCTGATGTTTCATCTGAAGGCTAACGTGTTCGTTTCTGGCTGCAGTTTGATCATAAATATAATGTAACTGGTCCAGGAAGACAAGGAACCTTTCTTTGTACTGAAAGGAGGCATCCCCAAGGTCGAAACTCTAAGAAACGTGAAGCTGTGCAGCAGAATGTGGATCTTCCCCTGGTCCTGCCCAAGCAAAAGAAGAAGCCGTATCCTATACCTTTGAAGAAAATTCAGCAGGCTGCGAAGGCTGACAAGAAGTTGGCTGAGGTTGGAATAGAAAAGAAGCTTGAACCCCCTAAGAATGGATTGCTTGTGCCTAGCCTAGTTCCCGCGGCTTACGAATTGTTAGATGATTGGAAACTTTTCATTAAAGGACTTGCACAACTGCTCCACTTTATTCCTGTCCATGCTTGTAGGTAACTTGTTAAAAATGGACTGTTTGTTGATTTTCTTGCTTGTTATATTGTGAAATGAGTAATTGTGCCATTTCTTTATCAACTAAGTTACTATTTTTTGCCTGCAGTGAATGCTCACAAATCCATGTTGCTCAAAGTGGTCATGAGATTCAGGATTGCCTTGGCCCAACCAACAGTAGTCGCAGAAGCTTCCACTCCTGGGTGACGGGATCAATTAATGATGTGCTAATTCCTATCGAGTCATACCATATGTATGATCCTTTTGGCACACGCATTAAGCATGAGACACGATTCAACTATGACAGAATTCCGGCAGTTGTAGAACTTTGCATCCAAGCTGGTGTGGATCTGCCAGGATATCCTTCACGGAGAAGGACTAAACCCATCAGAATGATGGGAAAGAAAGTGATCGACATAGGTGGATTAGTTGAGGAGCCTAGACCCACCGTAGACACAAATTCGGCTATTATGGACCTTGATACCCATCGGTCTTTTGAACGTTTTGCTCCACCATTGGAGTCAGAGGTGCCACGTATTGCCCAGGAGACGATTGATGCATATGAGAAAGTGAAATGGGGGGTGACAAAGTTGATGAAGAAGTACACTGTCAAAGCTTGTGGTTACTGTTCGGAGGTTCATGTGGGGCCTTGGGGTCACAATGCTAAGCTCTGTGGCGAATTTAAACACCAGTGGCGGGATGGGAAACATGGCTGGCAAGATGCAACAGTGGATGAGGTATTTCCCCCTAATTATGTGTGGCATGTTCAAGATCCAAAAGGAACCCCATTGAGGAGTGCACTGAAGAGGTTCTATGGGAAGGCTCCAGCTGTGGTTGAAGTTTGTATGCAGGCTGGTGCTCAAATACCTCAAAAGTATAAGCCTATGATGAGGCTAGACATTGTGCTCCCTGAAAGTGAAGAAAGTCGCCTAGTCGCGTAAGGTTCCTTAAGTACAAGCCTATGTTGAGGATATACATTGTGCTCCCTGACAGTGAAGAGAGTCGCCTAGTCGCATAAGGTTCCTTTACTAACTGTTCTACATAGCTAAACGTACACAGTGTGTTATAAAGATGTATAAAAGTCTGGAAATGTAGCTTTCATGATATTGTTCATCTCTTCATTGGGTGAGTATCTATTGAGGCTGCAGTCTTTGTTTTGCCTCTGTAATGTGAGGATCAGGGCACCCATTTCAACTTAGAAAATCAATGTCCACATAATATAAGTCCAAAAAGATTCAAAATTGGCAGGCAATATACCTCTTTCCCATTTTTCCTAATTGTTCTTGAAGACTACAAATATTTCAATAGAGTAAATGTATGATGATGAGAGATACATGAGGATAGAATAGTTAAAAAATTCTCCTAATTAATGTTTTCTTATAGAGCGTGTAAAAGAAAAACACAACACATAATTTGAGACGAAGGGTGTAGAGCACAGTAATGCAAGTTACAAAGCACAGCTTGATTGTCAACTTTCAGTTTTATCTGTTAGTACTCCCACCGTTTCATATTACTTCACCCATACTAAAAATAGTTGTTTCAAGTTACTTGGTTCAATTAATAAAATGACAGAGTACTCCTTAGCATTTATTTACATGCCTTCTTGCTTTGTCTAGTCCCACTTCAGTTCAAAATGTGCCTTAAATCAGGTCTTAATCTTTCTGCATTATTTGTAGTCCATACTTCATAGTTCATAAAATCAACATGTCACAAATAGATTAAGCTTGGTAATAGTAGCATAAGTTTGCAATTGACAACACGGAGTTTAGCTGCTGAAATATACACTGGGGGGGAAACGAAAAAATGAATGAAATACGGTACTCATTCCCAACAATATAATTAGAAAGGTCTACAATTTCTTATTGTTCTGTTGGGCACATTTCAAATTTTTCCTCTATACATAACAGTGTGTAAAAGCCTCTTGATGGGACAGGACTTCCTACAATAGCAGGATCAGTTCATTTGTCCAGCAAAATAACCTCTAAGCTATAACTTAACTGCTAGAACTTCAAGAGTCTTTCAGGTAACTGTCGAAGAGGTGAAGTGATCCATTCCAAGCATCCGTCCTGCTTGGAGGTCGGTAATGATACAAACAGAAAATTGACGCCACGGTAGTTCTCAGGCAGCAGGAGCATGTTCCTGGATGGCTACTGCCAATTTATTACGATCCTCCTCTGTTTTCGTTCTTATCAAGAATGTTCGTGCAACAACATCATCATTGTCACCATCACCCTAAGAAATATAAGCAATACATTCAACCATTTAGTGCAGTTGGAGGATAAGGGAATAAAATAAACCTATGGCATCAAATAGAAATAATTTCTTCAAGTTCTAGCTTTGTTATTCTATAAGTAACTTGATAAAAACTGGAAATCACGGTAGTTAGAATGAGTGCAGCAGTACTCCAGAAAATGTCAACTGTTTTTTAAAAAAAAATACCATTTAAGCTTTTTCAAGGACCATGCTTGATAAATTTACACTTACAGGAGTTTGTTCAAACTGGCAAGCATTTCTCAAATAAAATAAAAAATACGGATATTTTTGGTTAGGATTATTACCGAGGTATGGAATATTGCAACAACGGAATTCTTCTGCAAGTTTGTTTTAATTCCTTGATACAACAATGCATTAAGCAAAATTTTTCCAACCTGCAACAAATATACAATAGGCAAAAAAATGTTAGGTGTAATCTTTTTTGATAAGTAGAAAGGTAAAGGTGTGATCTAGTTCTCATGTCTAAAGAGCAAGACGACTGAAATAAGCAATTATATATCCAGCATTTATCTGGGAAAAGAAAAGGAGAAAAATGTAGGATGGACACAAAATCTTGTTTGCTTTGGAGTGTCAAGTCAAAGAGAAGTGAAAATTTTGTCTTCTTGTTGTCTTCTCGACCAATTCAGTATATCATCCCTAGAATAAATAACATCCCAAACTTCCACTGTTATAATGTTATCTTTGCTATTAATATTTCATATTTTATTTTTGATAATGATGGTGTCTGGGGTAGCTCGCGCACACCTGGATTATTTCACAGGTACCTTCTACTTCCCACCAGTATAGATACCTTTTTTTTTTTTGAGAAGGTAACACTTAGTATATATTTACAATACAACACCTAGGTTTGTGCTAAAACCATATTTAAAGTGAAAAACAAAAGCAAACTGCTACATCAGCCTGACAAAAAAACAAGGGTTCCTATCATTGAAGCAGCATCTTCTATGTTTCTCTGGTTAACCCAAATAGATACTTGTAATTGCCCACTAAGGCTGTGTCACATGTTATATTAGTTATTATAATATTAAAAGAACCATGAAGAGAGGGGCAAACGAAAGAAGCTAAACTCATGCACTACATTGGTGACAAGCTCAACTCAGCTCGTCATTTCTTGAGCATGACTTGAATAACAAAGCAACCCAAGCTCAAGCTGTGACGTGAACCTGTTGGAAATTAAGTTTGTATCTACCTCTAACTATTCAAGCTAGACGAATTCATTGACCAAAATACAGCATCTAAAAGCTAAGATCATTAGATTACTGTAAAGAGCTTGACTGATGTCTGATAAAATATATTAGACCATGGCTTAGATTTGATTTGTTTATTCTTGAATATTGAGATATATTACTTTTTTCCTAAAAAAAAACTGAGATCTCAAAATAGAACCATACATTTGGCAAGGAAAAAGTTACGTTAGGATAAGGTGAAGACTGTTTGTGCATTTTGCTAGATAATACCAAATAAGAATTACAAATGGTTTCATTGCCAATTTTACAATTCTGCCTTTATAGTTCGACTGACAACTATGCATCCCTTCCTACTAAAGATCCAATAAAATAAAAACTGAATAAAAGAACATTTCCTTGTTAGGACTACAACAACAATAGCATACCAGTGAAATCCCAAAGGTTGGGTCTGGACTTGTTGGGAGTAGGGTATACTATAATTTATTTATTTTGGATGGCCTGAGGGGTGCACTTGAAGCAACAAATGGTATGGAACTTACATCATTTCGTATCAGGATAGTTGGTTTGGATTCCCGGGTACCCTTGCTAACACCTTCTTTACACTTGATAGAAAGCTGACCCGTGCCCCTGTCTTTCCATGCATCTTTATCCACTGGATCCGCTGACTGAACAAATAGAAATAAGGAAAAAGAAATGTCACAGCCGGAACAGATAAAAGATTGAGCTAGCCATCTCAAATTCAACACAATTTTGATACATATAAAATAAGTCAATAGCTTGAATTTGTATCTGGAAAAGAATGTTCATGGTCAAACTCTTAGTATTATGCACTTGAGGCATGAAACTGTAGTGCCTTGATGACAAAAGGCTGATTGCAATGAACAAGGTAAAAAGTAAAATGACACAACAAAAAATGGTGATAATTGTTATATGAGATATTACCCATCAACATTGCTGTATGAGATACTTTTTTGTATCATTTGGACTAACATCTTATCTTGACCTTCTCAAATAAATTGTTATATGAGATCACAGAATGTAGCAATCTGTATGAACAATTTGTTTAGCATACTAATGTCCTAAACAAGAATTACTGCAATTTCATGCAAGAAAAAATGCGGAGTCACACATGCAAAACACAAAAGAAAACAACAAATCGGACATGATTCAATGACCACCTCCGTTTGCTTCACCTGCTGAAAGCTACCCTTGCGCATAACATAGAGCCTAATAACAATTATTATACAGAATGTTGGCAGAATAAAAGAGTAACAGCTATGACATGCCTCAGACAAAATTGACCATCACAGTTCAGTTCATCAGTCACTCGTTGTCAACATGAAACATGCCTAAGTTACTAATCATACAAATATTGATGCGAGAGAAGCAGTATGAATAAAAATCAGAATTCTTAAAAGATAGTATATATCTAGACTAAATATAAGTGAAGTTCAAAGACTTTAAAAATGGTTGGTAACCATCCAGTAATATGATTTTCTTTTATTGTTATAGCCATCCAGTAATATGATTAGAGCACCAAAAAGGACTATACAGGATATATTTCTTTCTAAACAGGAGTAAGCACTTGTACTACGTTACCTTCACATAAAGTTTACATTTGACCTCATGGACAACAGTGACTCCCTTTTCTTCAGTCTTCTTCACAGATGGACTGCTTGGCTGCTCCACTTCATCTTCTGCATTACAAAAATAATCTCCACAGTTATGGAGCAAATAAAAAAAAAGGGCAATCTCCTGAGGCCAATAGTGAAAAATTAAAAGAATAGTCTCCAAAAAAATTTATGAGATGAAATCCTTTGATGCAGCCCAACAACTTCTTTAGTATAATACAAAAACTGTATGCAGGGTCAGTAAGTGTTTAGACTGTGTATATGACAGTATTCTTTTTTTCCCTGTGACACTTCTTTTGCCATGCTATAAAAATTGAGAAAACAAAATCCTAGTCGTTTTAAATGGCTAACAGTTAACATTAGGTATGTGATGGTCTTAGATTGACTTGTTTTCAGCATTAGAAATAGATACTAATGCTTACACAATATTATCCTCCATTTGTTCTGTAATCATTCATTAGTCTTTAGTTCCTACCAAAATCTGTTACATCAAAGGTGTGACTTCAAGTGATAAATTTTGAAACTTAATTGAATTGGAGCAAAAAAGAACAGACACTTGTCTCAAACTCCAAAGCTCATGTTCAAAAATCCCAAGAAGAAAATAAAACAATGGTATTTCCCCTTTACTGTTGACGGCTGCTCCAACAGTAAAAGGCTGCTCACCAAGGCTCGGTGCTTGTGCCAGATGGAGGTAGTAGGTAACTGGTGGAATAGGAATAGTAGCGGAGCATGCAAACTGGCAAGGACACCACCATCATAAAAAATGTTAATACTCTCAAAGTATTAGGCATTTAACCTCCACCTTATGGTTCAGATGAACAACTACTAAAACTAAAAAAAAAAAAAAAGGGGGGGGGGGGGGGGGGCCGGGTTTAGAGAAAACAA